CATAATGCAACAATGCTAAAAAGCCAAAATAATATGTTAAAAAAAAAGCATTTTTTAAGTGTATGACCCAAAAGTAAGTGCTTAGAAGCCCCTACATTTTAAAACCATTGAAACCCATTTGGCCACTGGGTCAAATGACCGTAAGGGGTTGATTTACTAATGCAGGCCATAGACGGGTCGAAAATCGGCCGATTTTTCTTTAAAAAAATGAAAAATCGGTCATTCAAGCGGCCGACGTTACCAGCAACGGTAAAAAAAATCGGCCGATTTTCATCCCGTCTACAGCCGGCAAAAAGTGTCCCTGCAGAGAGCTCCGCTATTTCTTTGACAGTTCCTTGACATTTATAGTGGTTGCAACAATGTATCTATTTGTATCCATTTAGGATACAGATGTTTTTATTCGGAAACAAATAGATACATTGTTGCAACCGCTATAAATGTCAAGGAACTGTCAAAGAAATAGCGGAGCTCTCTGCAGGGACACTTTTTGCCGGACTGGAATTCCTCTCTTCTTCTTCATCCTCTTCTTCTTCATCCTCTTCTTCTTCTCTTCTTCTTCTTCTTCCTCTTCTTCTTCTTCATCCTCTTCTTCATCTTCTTCCATCCTCTTCATCTTCTTCATCTTCTTCTTCTTCATCTCTCCTTCTTCTTCATCTCTCTTCTTCTTCATCCTCTTCTTCTTCTTCTTCATCCTCTTCTTCTTCTTCATCCTCTTCTTCTTCTACTTCTTCTTCTTCATCCTCTTCTTCTTCATCATCTTCTTCATCCTCTTCTTCATCTTCTCTCTTCTTCATCCTCTTCTTCTTCATCTTCTTCTTCTTCTTCCATCCTCTTCTTCTTCTCCATCCTCTTCTTCTTCTCCATCCTCTTCTTCTTCTTCATCCTCTTCTTCTCTTCCCCTTCTCCTTCTTCCTCTTCTTCTTCATCCTCTTCTTCATCCTCTTCCTGTTCTTCTTCATCCTCTTCTTCTTTTTCCTCTTCTTTTTGTCTTCCTCTTGCAGGTCACTGCTCATGCGCAGATTTTTTTAACAGTAAAAGATCGGCCGATTTGCCCATCATTGCCACGAAAATCGGCCGATCGGCAAAATCGGCCGATTTTTTTCCAACTTTACCGATAAAAAAAATCTTTTAAAATACCGAAAAACGGGCCGAACATTTAGCCCACTAACAATCCAAAAATCGGCCGATTTTATTTTTGGCCGAAAAATCGGCCGATTTTCGACCCATCTATGGCCTGCATAAAACTGGAGCTTGGAAAATCTGGTGCAGCTGTGCATAGTAATCAATCAGCTTCCAGTTTTTTTTGTTATCACAGCTTAATTGAACAAGCTGAAGTTAGAAGCTGATTGGCTACCATGCTCAGCTGCACCAGATTTTGCACTCTTCAAGTTTTAGTAAATCAACCCCTTAAGTTACAAAACAACCATTTGCTTTGCACATTTAGAGCTATTTGGTCTAGTGGCTGCTTCTTGTAATTGGTTTTAAAATGTAGGAGCTTCTAAGCACTTGCCTTTGGGTCATCAAACAAATAAAGATTTTTTTTTTTGCTTATAATATTTTGGTCTTTTTTCTAAATTTTTGTAGCATGTATAGTTTTTTTATATATATATATATATATATATATAGTATATTATTTTATGATTTTTGGAGATGCATCTGAAGCTTTTTTGATACTAATGGGGGAGATTTACTAAAAATGGAGCACGCAGAATCTGTTTCAGCTGTGCACAGTGACCAATCATCTTCTAACTTCAGCTTGTTCAGTTAGGCATTGACAATAAAACCTAGAAGCTGATTGGTCACCATGCACAGCTGCACCAGATTCTGCGTGCTCCAGTTTCAGTAAATCGCCTCCATTACATACTAGTTTGAGTTTTGGAAGCAAGGTGCTTTCCTTCCTTCCCCTTTCCTTGCTGTTTGTGAGCTCACAGGGGATATCAATCTATACTATTGTCCTGATAACCACTACCACCAATGGCGGCCATAGATGCTTCCATTTTAATATTTTCAATGTACGATTTGTTTAAACTGATTGAATCTTCAAACAAATAGCCATAACTTCCATTCCAATTTATTGAGACGATTTAGATCAGATTTGATCAAACTTGATTAGCCAGAGTGTAAAATCATAGATTGTTTTGCATTGCTCAGCAAAACTGAGATACTTTGTGAATGCGATTGCATTTTCTTTTAAAAGAGAAGCATGGACTTAGAAAAAAACATTAGTACTCACCTAGTTGGATGCAGCATTGATCCTACACTAAATCTGCCCCCCACTGGCTCTGCTTTGAGAATTGAACGATCAAACACAGTTAAATGCTCAGTTCTCCCCCTCTGCTCTGAACAGAAATCGGTGACTGTCTCTCTGTTCTGCTTCTCCAGCGCTCACTGGAGCACTAGACTGTGGAAGGGCAGCAGGGGTTCGCTCATATCTCAACAGATCGTTGAGAGGCTGAACCAGGTGATGGTCAAGGCATCTGGGTGGATCCAACCATATGGTCAGGATCTTTCCCGAGCCTGGACCAGCTGAGTGACATCAGCTGACAGCGGACTTTAGCCCACTTTTGTCTGAAAATGGATCACATGAGTGCAGAAGGAACTGCACTCCTGTGACCTACAGCCAAGAATGCTTTGGTCCTACTTCTCCTTTAATCAAATCTACTATAGAATACATTTTTGTTGGGGGGGGGGGGGGGGGGGGGGGGGGGGGGGGGGGGGGGGGGGGGGGGGGGGGGGGGGGGGGAGGGAGCTGCGGGCGGGGGGGGGGGGGGCATTCTATAGTAGAAACATCATGATTAAAGTAGAAATAAACCTCTGTTCAGGGGCGGACTGACCATTTGGAAACTCGGGCACTGCCCGAGGGCCCGGGGTCAGTAGAGGGCCCCATGAGATGCCCCCGGTACCATTTTTCATAGGCTTTTTTGAGTTTGGGCAAGGACACAGGGGTCCCATGATCCCCTATTTCCCGGGGGCCCCATGAGTTGTCAGTCTGCCCCTGCCTCTGTTGTTATTATCTTTTTTTTCCCAAAGGAGCTGTTAGCCATAATTTGTTAGTATGTACAGCATATTGGCACATTTGGCAGACTTACCTGTCAAGCACGCCTCTGCAGTGCTGCCCTTAGTCATGGATGCTACCATATTCTCCCAGGCTCTCTTCCAGGTTGACTCTTTGACCACTTGGTTGGCCCTGCCACGATGATGTCACTACAGCGTATGAGCATGGGAGTTACATCATCACAGAGTGGTGGCATAAAGGTACGTGGAGCTGCTCATGTGCTGATCACGATCACTGTTCATAAACCCAGGATGGCAGGGAGAAGGGTTTAAGACAGAAGAGACCAATAGGGTAAAATAAAAATTCTACCTTCCAGCAGTTTTTTCTTTTTAGGTTTAATTCCCCCTTAAAGGATACGTTCACCTTTTGTAACATGTTACATGTTACATTCATATTCAGGGTGTAACATGTTATGAATAGACAGGCTCCCGCTCCACACCAATCCCTGTTCTGACAGCTAGCGGTGGATCTTCTCCCTCCTGCTAGCTGTCATAAAATACGTGGCCAAGCGGAGCTCCACCCGCCTGGCTGTATCACTCATTCAGAATATTCTGTGAATGAGAACACACAACAAGTTCTGACAGCCTTTGCTGCTGTCAGCTTGTAGTTCCTAATGAACTACCGCAGTGCTGTGGAGTGCTGTGGTAGCTCATTGAGTCTTCCTGTCAGTAAGTATCTGCCTGCTCATACGAGGTACGGGCACACAGATAGACTGACAAATCTGCAGGAGACTTGCATGGCGAGAGATTGCATGGCACCAGCAATCTTCTGATTGCTGGTGCAATGCTTTTAGGCCCCATGTACTCGGGACACTTCTGAATGATGGAAACTGACTGCTGGAAAACTTAGGTTAAAAAACATGTTTAGCGCGTTTGCATACTGCGTTCTGTTGCATTTGTGTTTAGAAGAGTTTTTTAAAGATAAGCACAGGAGCAGGGGCGGACTGACAACTCATGGGGACCCCGGGCAATAGGGGATCATGGGGCCCCTGTGTCCTTGCCCAAACTCAAAAAAGCCTATGACAAAGGTACCAGGGGCATCTCATGGGGCCCCCTACTGACCCCGGGCCCTCGGGCAGTGCCTGAGTTTCCAAATGGTCAGTCCGCCCCTGCACAGGAGAACCTCCCAAATGCCCAGAATGCACTGAAAAGTGGTAAATTATTAACTATTTCAGACGGTTTCAGAGAAATACAGAGAGTAGAAGCAGAGACAGCAGTATGTGTTGAGATTAGTTAGGTGTGAGTTGCTCATTAACATTTCTTTTGTTTCCAAGAGTGGGAAAGGTGTCTGCTGGAGGGAGTCATTAAGGCCACCTGGCAGGGGGTCTTCATGAGGAATTTGAGGTGTGACTGGTCATTAACATATCTTTTGTTTCCAAGGGTGGGAGAGGTCTGAGGTGTGAATTGGTCATTACAATGTGTGACAAGCTTGGTAGGAACATCCTGCGTTCAGTGTTTTGTCCATCTGAGCACCTTGAAAATGCTTTGCATGCATTTTTCATGATGAAAAAAGGCTTTGGACAGCACCCGGAACTGGAAGAATTAAAAAAAAATTCAAATGCAAACGCTTATAAACTCGAATTTGCTGCATTTATCCGCGTTTACAAGCGTTTGGTTTTGAAATGCTGGTAAAAACGACTGTAAACTCAAATGTCTGTAAACAACAATGTGTACATGGACACATAGGAAAACATTAGGGAGAGTTCAGGGGTTGCTGAAAAAAATGCTGAACAGCTCCTAAACGTGCGTTTATCAACTGCAGTGTACATGAGCCCTTGCAGGCTCCAGAAACAAAAAATAACACATACACATTTTTTTACCTGCAAAAAAATGTGCATTTATTATTTTTTGTTAAAAGGTGAACTTATCCTTGAACTATTGATTGAATTCCACCTTTCCATGTGTGTATAGATCATTCATCAATAGATTAATCAGAAATTAAATATTTTTTGAAGCATGTATGGTCACCATTAGAAATAAAGTGATGGGAAATCTGAATGTTTACAGTTGTCACTGAAACAGGAGACAAGGTAAAAACTTCCAATGGAGACACTTGTTCAGGTGACAACTGTTTAAAGGCCAGTTCACACCTGAACCCAGTGCAGGAAAGGAGTGTTTTGTGTACAGGGGCGGACTGACCATTTGGGAACTCGGGCACTGCCTGAGGGCCCTGGGTCAGTAGGGGGCCCCATGAGATGCCCCTGGCACCTTTTAATAGGCTTTCTTGGGTGTGGGGGCCCCATGAGTTGTCAGTCCGCCCCTGTTTGTGTACTTTTCCTGCTCTGTGTTCATAATGCACTTGGTCTGCCGGTGTCAATAGATTCTTATTGATACCCCAAATGCAGATTGCAAACAGTGGGGGATATTTACCAAAACTGTACAGTGCCAAATCTGGTGCAGCTCTGTTTAGAAACCAATCAGCTTCCAGGGTTTATAGCCAAAGCTTAGATGAAGAAGCTGAAGTTAGAAGCTGATTGGCTACCATGCACAAATGCATCAGATTCTGAGTACACCAGTTTTAGCAAATCTCCCCCAGTGTTTGCCTGCACCAGATCGCATGGTAATATGATATCATGTGACTTGGCATGGTGCATTTTTGCACAAACTACTTTTTGTGAGATCCACTACCATTTCAAACCATTCAAATGAATGGTTTGAAAATTGTGCCACATCCTGTGATATTCAGGGGTGAAACGGCTTTAAAAGATCACTGATGAGAATTTTTTTCTCAATCTCTGTTGTATCCCCAAGACAAGAAATGAAAGAGCATAAACAGCAGCATTGCCCCAACTGTCACACAGCAGCAGGAAAGTGCCCTCTTCTGTTCATGCTCTAGCAGAACAGTGCCAGCAGCACCAGCGGCCCTGCTGTGCATGTATCCCAGAAATTGTACAAGGCGGTAAGAGAGACACTGGAGGCCAAAAGAGGCACTTCCAGAGAGACACTGGAAGCCAAAGGGGCACCTCCAGGGAGACACTGGAGGCCAAAGGGGCACCTCCAGGGAGACACTGGAGGCCAAAGGGGCACCTCCAGAGAGACACTGAAGGCCAAAGGGGCACCTCCAGGGAGACACTGGAGGCCAAAGGGGCACCTCCAGAGAGACACTGGAAGCCAAAGGGGCACCTCCAGGGAGACACTGGAGGCCAAAGGGGCACGTCCAGAGAGACACTGGAGGCCAAAGGGGCACCTCCAGACAGACAGTGAAGGCCAAAAGGGCACCTCCAGATAGACACTGGAGGCCAAAGGGGCACCTCCAGAGAGACACTGGAGACCAAAGGGGCACCTCCAGAGAGACAGTGAAGAGCAAAGAGGCACCTCCAGAGAGACAGTGAAGACCAAAGGGGCACCTCCAGAGAGAAACTGGAGGCCAAAGGGGCACCTCCAGGGAGACAGTGAAGGCCAAAGGGGCACCTCCAGATAGACACTGGAGGCCAAAGGGGCACCTCCAGAGAGACACTGGAGGCCAAAGGGGCACCTCCAGATTGACACTGGAGGCCAAAGGGGCACCTCCAGAGAGACAGTGAAGACCAAAGGGGCACCTCCAGAGCAGGGGTGGACTGACATCTCATGGGGCCCTGGGCAATAGGGGATCATGGGGCCCCTGTGTCCTTGCCCAAACTCAAAAAAGCCTATGAAAAAGGTACCAGGGGCATCTCATGGGGCCCTCTACTGACCCCGGGCCCTCGGGCAGTGCCCGAGTTCCCAAATGGTCAGTCCGCCCCTGCTCCAGAGAGACACTGGAGGTCAAAAAGGGGCACTTCCAGAGAGATGCTGGAGGCCAAAGGGGCACCTCCAGAGAGACAGTGAAGACCAAAGGGGCACCTCCAGAGAGACACTGGAGGCCAAAGGGGCACCTTCAGAGAGACACTGGAGGCCAAAGGGGCACCTCCAGAGAGACACTGGAGGGCAAAGGATCACCCTATAGGTGAAAACAGCCCACTACGACTTTCAGAAGCTGATAACACTGCAAAGACTGCACCAAAAAGGGAAGAGGAGGCAATGGTGTGCAAAGGAATGCAGATACATTCATTCTTTGATTTTTAAGAGGCGGGTTTAATATCACTTTCATTTTAAGCGATTTTAGTGAATGGGTTTATATCTACTTTAAGATAATTAAGTTCTCATGCATATATACACAATATTGAAGTCATATTCCACATTTACTTCTTTCTTGTATTGTACACATGTTGAGCCTCACTTATTTTTTCTGCTAGGCAGAGTTGGGCTATAGTTTCCTATTACAACACTAACTATTTATTCTGATAATGATCAAACTATATCTGCACTTTAACATGCTTAAGTATAATTGTGAAATGGTAAGTAGCAGGATACAATTTCTTTTTCATAAAGGACAATTCTTTTTCGAATGTAATACTGCAGCAAATTTCAAAGATAATGAACTAATTATGTTGGGTTGTATATAGTATCCCATTATTTCAATTGCCTCACTTGAAAATTAATCCAGTTTCTATGGGTCTAATCTTTTATGTAAGAAATGGGCAAACATAATGAGGAGGCAGAAAGGGCACAGAATATGTATTTGTCTGCACAAAGGGATAAACATTAAACAAAGAGATTTTTTTTTATGTTTTCAGCATCAGTTTATCCACTGTACAAATACTTATACACTTAACGTGACTCTGTGGGGTTGATTTACTAAAGTCAAATAGCCTATTCAATTTGCAAAGGAGATTTCTCTAGAGTGTAGTGAATGCGGTGACATTTCACTTTGCAAAGAATACCTAATCACAGCACAGTGGCTAAATGGTTAGCACTTCCGCCTAGCAGTACTAGGGTTGTTGGTTCGAATCCCAGCCATGGCACCACCTGCCTGGAGTTTGTGTGTTCTCTCTGTGCCTGCGTGGGTTACCTCCCACACTCCAAAGACACGCTGGTTAGTTAATTGGCTCCTGTCTAAATTGTCCCTAGTATGTGTATGTATGAATGTGAGTTAGGGACCTTAGATTGTTCACCCCTTGAGGGTTAGGGACTGATGTGAATGTACAATATATATATGTGTAAAGCACTGTGTAAAACTGACAGCCCTATATACTGTAAGTATCTGAAATAAATAAATCATGTGCAAGGAATTTTTTTAAAAAAGTACATTTTTGCCTGCACATGATTGGATGATGAAAGTGATAACATGATACCCCCCCATCCCTTCCCCCAGCAAGGCATACTCACCTTGTTCTCTGCTACATTACTCTAAAAAAGACTCAGCTCCATTAGGCTTCCAGGTATGTGACATCCTCCATGTGGCAATGCTCAGATTTCCTCCATGTGGCAAGCATTTCCCAGCACACATAGGGCTTGTTCACACTTGACTAAATTTCTAACTCTTCAAAAATGCTCCTATAGTGTTAATATAGGTATTAGACAGGCCTTAATGAGCTTTAGTATGGGCATTTTACAAGCATTAAAAACACTCCCCAGATGCCTATAATAAACTGTAATAGTATTAACCACTTCCAGTCCGGACACTTTCACCCCCTTCCAGTCCGGACACTTTCCCCCCCCCCCTTCCTCCGGTCCAGTCCGGACACTTTCACCCCCTTCCAGTCCGGACACTTTCACCCCCTTCCAGTCCGGACACTTTCACCCCCTTCCAGTCCGGACACTTTCACCCCCTTCCTGCCCAGGCCAATTTTCAGCTTTCAGTGCTATCACACTTTAAATGACAATTGGGCGGTAATGCAACACTGTACCCATATTAATTTTTTTGCATTTTTTTTGAGACAGATAAAACTTTTATTTTGGTGGTATCTATTCACTGCTGGGATTTTTATTTTTTTTCTATATAAATGAAAAAGTCCAAAAATTTTGAAAAAAGTTAATAAAAGCAAATAAATAATATTTCTTCATAAATCTTGGCCAAAATTTTTTCAGTTATATTTTTAGTAAAAAAATAATAACCCAAATTAGTTTATAACCAAAAATTATAATTTTTCAAAAAATGTTTTTTACATTTTTATTTTATTTTTGTATATTATTATTTATTTATTTTTTTAAACATACTGTCACCCTAGCAGTACAGTGTCACCATAGTGACACTGTACTACTTGTGGGGGGGTGATGAAGATTCTTTTTTTTTTTTTTTACACTGATTGCTTTTACACCCATAAAGGCTATAAAAGCAATCATTTCTCCTTTTCCATTCTTGCAGCCATTGAGAAATACTGTGTGAGCTGTGATTGGTCACAGCTTGTCACATGGTACAAGGCTGTTGTGAATACCTGACCTTGGCTTGATATCAAGAGAACCCAAAACTTTCCACTTCTTAAGAGGTGATTTAACAGTACTGATTGGCATATTCAAGGCTTTGGACATCTTTGTATGTCCTTTTCCATCTTTATAAAGTTCCATTACCTTGATACGCAGGACTTTTGACAGTTCTTTTCTGATCCCCATGGCTCAGTATCTAGCCTAGTCAGTGCTTCCAAGTAAGAGCTAACAAACTCATTGACTATTTATACACTGACACTAATTGCAATTTAAAAAACAGATGTGGGACATTAACCTCTAATTGGCATTGTAAGTCACCTTGTGTGTCTGTACCAAGGCCAAACATTCCAGGGGAGGGAAACTTTGATCCAGTCCATTTGGGTGATTTCTGTTATCATTATGATTAAAAAGGAACCAAACAACTATGTGATAATAAATGGCTTCCTAATCATCATTAGAGATGAGCGAATTATTCAAAAATTCGATTCGGTGATTCGCCGAATTTGCGGAATAAATTCGATTTGCGAATTTATTCGTGCGAATTTCTTATTAAAAGGATTTCTAGGCTTCAGAGAGCTTTATATTAGTGCAGAACAACCTTTATTTAAATGCCCTTGGAGTCTGCAGGGTCAGTCAGTATGACATGCAGATGAGTGCCGTCGATCTTAGAAATCACCGATCATTTGGGCAGTCACGGGGCCACGAAGAAGATTGAAGAAGATGAAGAAGAAGAAGATTTCTGTGATGAAGAATCATTATGAGGATGAAGAAGAAGAAGATGATGAAAAGTAGGATGAAAATAAGAAAAATTCCAGTACAGCAAAAAGTGTATCTGCAGAGACTATTTCTGACAGTTCTCTGACAGATACAGCGGTTGAAACATTGTAATTTGTTTCCGAATAAAAACATCTGTATCCTAAATGGAAACAAATAGATACAATGTTTCAACCGCTGTAAATGTGAAGGATCTGTCTGTCAGAAATAGCGGAGCTCTCTGCAGGGACA